CACACACACACACACACACACACACACTTCACTGAGGATGCCACTGACAGAATTGCAGTGAGTATCGCAGATGGCATTTACTAAACGCTAGCTGTGCGCTGGCCTTTCCCTCCTGCAGCCACAGGTTTCATTATTCCCATTTCCAGATGGGGAAAACTGAGCTTTCCGGGTTGGGTGTGGGCTCTCGTTCATGCATTCAAAGCGAGACGTGCAGACTCAGCTAGGATTTGTTTGAATTTGCTGAAGTTGATTTGCTGAAGCCTAGTGGGGGTGCCAAAGCCAATGCTGCCACAATCGATGGGAAGGTCTGCCAGCCAAAGCCCCCACATCCTTGAACACCTGCTACTAGTGTGACTTGGAGACCAACTCTCTGTCTATCTCTGTGGCGTTTTGCCAATGTGGGTTCTGATAAATAGGACTGCTCTCTATTCTCCCTCCCGTAAACACCCCAATCACTTGAGTCCCCCGCCCCAAGAACACTGATCAATCATGTCCAGAGGAAATCTAGATGGGCATCAGAGACAAGAGATAAAGAAAACCAAATCAAACACCATACCCTAAACAGGCCACTGTCAGTCTCCCCCTGCAATAGGAATTGTGCTTTTAACCTCACTGGTTCCTCCCAAACCTCTGTTTATCAGGGTGGATACTTTCCAACACAGCCTCAGCATGCAAAGAAATGAACGTTTAGTCAATGATGAGACCTCTGAAGACACAAAACTCCTTGGTAGAGAGAGGGGAGAAAGAGAGAGAAGGGACTAGCAACAAGGTTTATCTCTAGAGAGAGCACCTGGGTACTGAGCCGCGGCAGAGCAGGTGTTCCCATGTGATGAGCAGGTGCAGCCAGATGGCCCAAGCCTGGCCAAGCCTACAGCCAGATGGAGTGCTTGTTCAAGGGAAGGGAAGGGAGCGCTGAGCCCTCAGGGGATCCCCGCTGACCAGCCAGCCCCTCTTGCAGGCTCACATCTGCATGGGCTTTAATGACTTGTGAAAAGAAGGAGAGGCTCAGAGATCTAACTCTTGGCAGGCATATCTGTGAGTCCCACCAGCTATGTAATTCAGCTGTTCAGCTGCAAGAAACTGTTAATCCAAGGGGCTTTGTACAAGCAAGTTCATTAGTTCACTTTTGCAATTACTGCACCCTGGACCTATGGTGTTTTATCACAAATGCAAATATTTTTCATAAAATAAGTTTCTATTTATATATTAAACATTTATGTTTATACTCTGTTGATGAGAAACTCTAAAATATACATTTCACAGTCCACTGTTCTGTGGTATTTTCTACATTGCTGGGGTACAGTAGCAGCAACCTCATTTGTACCAATGAGCACACTGTACCATACACCTCTGGGTTTTTTTGTGGGTTTTTTTTTTAAAGATTTACTTATTTTTATTTTATGTGTATGGGTGTTTTGCTTGTGTGCATGTCTGCGCACCATGTGTGTGCCAGGTGTAAGACAAAAGGTGCTGCCTCCCCTGCAACTAGAATTACAGTGGGTTGTGTGGGTGCTGGGACTCAAACCTGTGTCCTCTAGAGAGAAGCCAGTGTCCTTAACCATTGAACCATCTCTCCAGCCTGTCTTCTATTGTGCTGTGGGAAGTCCTTCTGTATATATGTTGCTTTTATTGGTTAATGAATAAAGAAGCTGCTTTCGGCCAATGGCTTAACAGAATATATATATATATGTGTGTGTGTGTGTGTGTGTGTGTGTGTGTGTGTGTGTATACATATATACATATATATATATATATATATATATATATATATAGAGAGAGAGAGAGAGAGAGAGAGAGAGAGAGAGTAGGCAGAGTCAACAAGAAGCCATATAGCCCCAATAGAGATAGACGCTGGAAGGAACTTTATCTGGAAAGCCACAGTCACGTGTCTATACACAGATTAATGGAGATGGGCTAGTTTGGGATATAAAAGCAAGCTCGAAATATACTTAAGCTATTGGCCAAACAGTATTGCAAATAATCCAGTTTCTGTGTTGAGTCAGGGTGGTCGGGAAACGGACAAGCGGCCTCCGGCAACACTGTTGCTCCTATTATTATGCTTTGTTTCTAAGTAAATTCAGATTCTGTTTAATCCTGCTCATATGGCTATGATTGCCTTTGGTGGAACAGATCAACCCAAATTAAAATCCAAAGCACAAAAGGTTTTTTTTACACCTTTAGGTTTTCTTCCCACAGCTGCAGATAAGCCGTCACCCAAGGGAAGCTAGCCTTCTGTGAGGAAGGAAGGTACGGGAACTAGGAAGGGGAGTATGTACCCAGGACAAAGTTTCTCGATGGAAACTCTCTCCAAAAAGTAAGATTTCCCCGGGCATTAACTATTTCACTTACACTCACAGAGTTTTACTCAACTTCCTATGGACTGTACATGCTACCAATGAAACGAGGAACATTTAAACTAGAGAGCATCTGTGACTCTTCTCAGAGAAACATCATCCTACATACGATCCGTATCCCACTACAGCAGCCCGTTCTTTCAGAACATGCAAGTTGACACTACCATTAAAGACCAGTTCTATAGTCAGGTATGACAACACATGCCTTTAATTCCAGCACTCAGGAATCGGAGACAGGCAGATATCTGAGTTCAAGGCCAGCATAGTCTACATATCAAGTTCAGGCCACTGAGGACATTTAGTGAGACCTTCTTTCAAAATAACACATACAAACAGAAAGAGCATTGCCATAGCCTTATAATTTTTAAGCAGGAATCGAACCAGTCACTAAGTAATGCCAGTTCTCTGTTCAGAAATAAGGTTATGCACAGTAAGCTGCTAGGTCATCATATCTGTTTCCATAGTGACTGCTACATGTTAAGGTAGTTCACTGAACTACAAGTCTGATTTCTTTCACATCTAGACTTCCTCAGACTTGGAGAAAGGTCTTCAAAAGTGAGAAGCTAGGTAGTCAATACTGTTAATTTACAGCTGCTGAAACAATCTGTTGGTGAGTATGAATTATAGAAAGAATCCAACTGCACATTCCATTTGATTTGACTGGGAATAGCCCACAAGTCAATCACAGGTAACCCTAATCCAAGGGCAACCCTGCTGGGGAAGTCTTGTCTTCAGGACCCTCTAGGTCCTTGTATGCTGGAAGCGATAGGAAGGAACCCAGCAATCACCTGGTAGTAACTTCTGAATAACCTGAGACTACCTTGTGAGAAAAAGGCTAGGAAGAGATCGGAAAGATTTTTGGTACCCTATGCCCTTTCCCTTCATGAGGAGGTACTCAAGAAAATACCCTGGGGACACAGTGTCTTCTCATGGAACCTAAACACAGTTGTAGCCTAACCAATACTGCTCTTAGGAAACGAGATAACTGGTCTACCCCAGGCTGAACCTAGACATGAACTTTGAGAGTAAAAGAGAATACCTGAGTATTGAATCGTTAAAATAACGTCAATGTTGATTCCTTGATAACTTTCAAATATTTATTGAGAGTATTTGTGTTAGAAAAATTGACAAATTATCCACCAAAGTATAAGATTCAGTTCCTGTTCTCTGTAAGTATTCTGTAAGTTCTTGAGTGTAAGCAGGAGGTGCAAATATACAAATTCATTTTATACCTTGCAGTAACATTCAAGTTAGAAATGAGTGGATTAAACTAGGCAGCAGAAACTGTTCAAAAGAGGAAAATCAACTGGAATCTCCGGTCAGCAATAAGGACAACAAGCATGGTGAGTACAAGGGATCTCAAGACAAAAGAAAAGGGGCTGCAAAGACAGTGTAGTCAGTAAAGCATTTCCTTGTAGGCATGAGGACCTGAGTTTAATCCCCAGAACCTGGGTAAAATTCTGACATGGTGTCTTAGTTAGGGGTTCTATTGCTGTGAAGAGACACTATGACCACGGCCACTCTGTTAGGAGAACACATTTAACAGGGTAGCTTACAGTTCAGAAGTTCAGTCCATTATCATCACGGTGAGACATGGCAGGGTGCAAGAAGATATAGTGCTGGAGAAGGAGCTGAGGGTCCTAGATCTTGTTCCTCAGGCAACAAGAAGTGGTCTTACACCCGGGGCATGGCCTTAGCATGAGACCTTAAAGCCCGCCCCCACAGTGACACTTCCTCCAACGAGGCCACGCCCACTCCAACAAAGTCACACCTCCTAATAGTGTCACTCCCTGACCTTAGGGGGGCCAATTACATTCAAACTACCACACATGGTGACACACAGTTGTAATCGCAGCATGAGGGAGGCAAAAACAACATATATCTCCACATGGGGCCTACAGGACAGCCAGCCAAGCCTAATCAGAAAGCCCAAGCCAATAAAAGATCATGTTTCAAAAAAGAGATGGGCAGCACTTGAGAAATGATCCCTGAGCATCTGAGGCTGCCCCTTCTCATGCGCGCACACACACACACACACACACACACATACCTACACACAGACACATATATACACATACATAAACACACATACACACACATACACACAGACATACATACACACACATACGCACATACACAAACACACACACATACATATACACACATACACACACATACACACAGACATACATACACACACATACGCACATACACAAACACACACACATACATATACACACATACACATACATACACACATGCATACACACATACACACACGTTCATACACACACACATGTATATGCAAACACATACACACATACATACACACATACACACATACATACAAACACATACACACAAACACACACATACACACACACACAAACACACACACTTACACACACACACACGAATGTAGGGGGAGAAAAGAGAGAGGGTGAATAACAGCGTAGAACTCATGTCCCATGGTTGTGATTTCATCTCTCAAGAGTTCAGACGATAAAGGATTCATCCCTGGGTTTTAGTTCAGTACAATGTGTGTCTATTAACCATCACTTCCCAGTTAGCCTCAAGAGACTCGGGGGTCAACAATGAAATGAAATAAAGGATTGATCCTGTCCAGGTGTCCTGAGCCCAGACTGCCACTGCTCCTCAACGCTGTCAGGAAGACAACAGGATACAGAAAGAAGACCTTGTGCTGAGCCAGGCGGTCAGGCCTTGCCCTGGGGCCACCGATCTTCCTGGTGTTACGGGGCCTCACAGACAGTAGCCTGGTAGTAATTTTGAAGATGCAGTGAACTTGAGCAACGGACTGAATCCACTCACAGCATATAGAAATGTGTTCTGTTTGTCCAGAAAGATGCAGGTTCTTCTTATTAGCACTTGGCAGTAAAAATTCCTCCAAGTGGGAATTTTAGACATGACTGGCTGCTGAGGATAGAGAACCTGTTACAGATCTAAGTCTGGGATCCAGGTAGAACCAGGGCCCAGAGCTCCTTACGGTCTGCTTGTTGGTTGAACTCGCTGGACCCCATTGTCATCAATCTTTCCCTGAAGCATCTGGAGTCTGAGGAAATCATGTCCTGACCCCAAGGCTTCACAAGCAGGAACCTCACTGTCAGGTTCAGGTTTGCATCTTCAGGTCCTTTTTGAGAGGACAGCACCATCAGGTGGACCCTTATGCTTAGAATCTGAGGGTAATACATGGTTCCCAGCACTTTTTTTAATTCACTAATAAAATATATATTAGAGTTTGGTCAGAATATTATTGTTTGCATGTCATGTGATTAATCTGGAAAACCCTAGAGGATTCATTAAAAACTGCTCCAGTTTGGAGAATGCAGGAAAGGATGCCCTGCCTGCTTTAAAGAGAACTATCCCATGACAGTTAAATAAGCGTTTGACCCCTAGTCTTAGGATATTCAAAAGACAAAAGGAGCCTAGAGAAGAAACAAGAAAAGAACAGGCAGGTAGGGCATGGGGCTGCAAGGTACATAGGGCAGGCTGGAGCTCCAGTGTGCTCAGACCAATGAGGACTCGAGGGACAGTTTCAGCCAGGAGCAACATGACCTGCCGCATTATCTCAAGATCTTGTGGTTCCTGAGGAGAAATGAGGTGAGTGGGGCAGAGGGGTGTGTAGAGGCCACCCACACTGGCATTGCCCACTGAGAACTCTCTGAGTTAGAAGGAGCTGGTCAGCTTCTGATGATGGGGATGGCCCAGCATGGTGGGCTGGTTAAGAAAGAAAGGGAGACATGAATTCTGAGGAGGTTTTATTGATGGGATCCACTGTATAAACTTAACATTCCCCAGTTTTGGGATAGGCAGCTCAGTCTGGGTATCTGGGGTCATCTGGTTGTCTCTGTCTGGCCGAAGGTAGGCTCACATGAAAACCCTTTTGTAAGGAGCTGCACAACAGTGATTGGAGATTTCAAAAGGCCTTGTGCCTTGTACCCACACAGCTTCTCCCATGGTACAAAGCTTACTCTGACAACCCCGGGACCTCAGCAGACTCTTCTCTTTCCTTTGCCTCTGCTCCCTCCCTCCCTGGCACTTCCCCTCATTCCCTACCCTTGGCAACCCTCCCTGGCCCACGGTCCTTCAGCTGGACTCTGCCTTGCAGGCTCTTCCAGGAGGCCGTTTATCCCCTGCCGCAACCATGGCTCTAGATGCCTAGAGCGTCATGAAGCCTGTGCCTGTCTCTCCTTTCTGTCTCAGCAACCTCGGACCTGAAATTGCCCACCATGTCCTTCTTCTGCCTTGCAGTGACCTTTTATGGGGAAAGGCCCCACGGATTCCAGCATGCCCTGCTCCTCTCTGGAGCCGGCCTGCACGGCAGCGACCCATGGGGCCATTCTGTCAGCCCAGGCGTTTAATTAACTAATTACAACCTGCTGACTTGCATGCCCAGATCGCTGTGCTCAGAGGGCAGCTTCTTCCAAATCATTATTACAAGCCCACATACATCTGATAGGTCTTCCCTGAGGGTATGGGGTGGTAATTGGTGCTTCCAACAGGAGGTTCTTGCAGATCATCAGAGCCGAGACCAAGTGTCACCATCTGCCAGTGTTTCTGGCCCCACCCCGCATCTCACAGTGTGACAAGGCCGCAGCTGTAGTGTTGGGGACCAAAGGACACGGGAGAAGAGCCGCCCTGCCAGATCTGCCCGGAGTATAATTCACCCCCGCTGTGCTCAACCACCAGGGCTGGGGAAATGAGCTGATGAGAATCAAAATAACCTCACAAGGATGACCTGGCCAGAAGAAGTCTGGATTTCTAATTAGGGCATAAGACAAAACTTGCCCAGGTCACGGCTTTCTGTTCCCTGAGAGGCACAAGACTGGAAAACCCCTGGGTCTCACCCAGATGTGGGGCCCGGACATGCAGGTTTGTGATGGTGGTGCCTGCCAGAGAGTGATAGGGACAAGCTCTCCAGTCCTAGAACCTAGACACAGTACGTCCCTAAGAGGTTAAGTCCCCAAGAGATTTATGAGTCAGCATCTTCTCTGCACCGAGGGGCATCAGCATAAATGAAGGCCCTCCACGGAGTCCAGAAGGACATCCACCATAGCACACTGATGCCTTCCCTACTCCGGAGCCTCAAAGTCCAAAAAGGTCTCCTGGGCTACAGCTCAGATATCAACAGAGCTAGGGGAAGAATCAGCACTTTTGCTTTTGCTTTCTGGCTTTCGGAGGGTACAAGAAAGCCTGAGCCTGCTAGCCACCCTGTTACTCTGTTTCCTGAGCTATCAATGGTTATCCAAGTCTTTGTCACCCCACTCCCCAATACTAAGGACAGAATCCAGGGTCTGGCAAATGCCAGGCAAGCTCTCTATGTGAGCTACAGGCTAGCCCAAGACCATGTCTTCCTGACACGGAATCTCACCTGGGTATTTTTAGACCCTACGGTGAAGATGGGCTTGCCTGGGCCTGACTGTCTAAGGACAGTTGATCGACCACACCAGCCCCACACGCTTGTGTCCCCTTTGTCAGGTAAACTAACAAACACGAGACCTGACTGAAATGTGAATGTCTGGTGGACTGTGTCCTTCCTATCACACACACACACACACACACAGAGGCACATGCACACACGAGCATGCACACGCACACATATTTGACTATTGTTCATTTATAAACAATGAAGGAAAGCTTCTTTTGGTGCCGTTTTACGAGACCCAGTGCATGTGTGGACGCGTGTAATAGCCCCAGCTTAGCAATGGAGTCTGGCATGCATCAACATTACCGTGTGAATGAAGCTCACTGACTCACTAATGCCGTCCATTCTGCTAAGCGCTTTCTCTTTCTTAATAAATTGTCTCTATTGCTAACCGCATGCCTCTGGTTAATTCTTAAAATATCTAAGGACTTGGATAAGCACATCCAAGTGGGTTCCTTCTGGACTCAAACCTTGTCTGTGGATTTTAGTTTAGGCAAAGTCCGAATCACTACACACTTCATGGCTGTGTTTCTGGCCCCGAACCCCTTGGTGTTTTGCTCACCCGGGAACTCCCTGCGGCCCTTTGTGCTCCATGTGCTACATTCTGTCTGCAATGTGAAGACTGTCACAAACTTTATTCTCATCCATCCTGCATGTTTTTAAGAAATTAAAAGAAAGAACCTCTTTTGTGTACCCTGATGCCACCATTCTCTTTGCTTTCCTGTCAGTCCCGCCTAAAGCATTTCCATGATAGTTCATAAAACACAAATCTACTGGAGATAAATTGCCTTTGCTTTTCTTAATCTGAGAACATATTTTTTTTCTCCCTTGGTAATGGATAGATTCTCCTCCTGAATACAAAATGTAAGGCTGCCTGTGCGGGATAAGAGAGGGGCAGGGGATTCCAATCCTGCTGCAGCACCTCCCAGGGAACCCCGACCCCTCTGTAACACCTCCCAGGGAATCCCGTCCCCGCTGCAGCACCTCCCAGGGAACCCCGACCCCGCTGCAACACCTCTCGGGAACCCTGACCCTGCTGCAGCACCTCCCGGGGAACCCCGACACTGCTGCAGCACCTCCCAGGGAACCCTGACCCTGCTGCAGCACCTCCCGGGGAACCCAGACCCCGCTGCAGCACCTCCAGGGAGCGCTAAGTCGTGCTGTGCTGCAGCGTAACTTAAAGTTTATCTTCTTTTTTTCCCCCCGAAAGACTGAGAATTGGGGATGAAGAAGGAAGAAAGGAAAGAAGGAATAGGAGGAAAAGAGAAAGGGAGAAAGGGAGGTAGAGAGGGAGGGAGGGGATGGGAAAGATGGATGAAGGGAAGAAGAGATGGAGGAAAGGGGGGAGAGAATGGGGAGGAAGGGAGGAAGAGAAGGAGGGAAGGAAGAAAGATGTGTATATAAGAGAGAGAGAGAGAAAGGAAAGAAAGGGGGTAAATATGTATAAAACGCATATGAAAAAGAGCCCTAGGGTCTAGCAATGGGCTTGGCTCCTGGAAGTTTCCCTCTGACTACTCAGGAGCCAGGGTCATCAGGGCCATCTTCCCTGGGAAGTTAGTAAGCTGAACAACAGCATTTGCTTCCTGTGTAGTTTCTCTCTGGGTTTCCGACATTCTGCTAATCTTCAAGAAAAATCTCCTTCTACCTGTCTTAGGAGATTTTGTCCAGCTCCATGAAAGGCTGCTGCCCACAAGTGAGGCTCACAGACTGCCCAGCCCTGGGGTCCTTCCTGCAGCCCTGCTTCTGTCCCCACTAGGATATGAGTGGACACTTTGGGAAGAGAGCCACAAACCCTTTATTTTACTCATCAGGAGCTTGAGTGTCTACACAATTTTCCAGGCCAAGCCGCCGAGCCACCCATGTGTCTGTTTTCGTCTGGTCTTTACCTTAACTCCTGCCTCTAGTCTATCATCTTTAATCCTAAAATACATCCCTGCAATCCTTGCTGGGCTTATAGCCACTTCTGTCCTGCCCAGTCTTTGCCATCTGCCAGCCTTCACCACCTTTGGCTGCAGGGCCTTTAAAACACAAAGAGGTTGGATGTGGCTCTTCATGTGCCACGCCCTGGGTCAACCCCAGCATTGCCAAAACAAACAAACAGAAAGCAAACCAAGAGCATATAGTTGCAGATGAAGGGTTCCATTCCTATGCTTCCCTGGCTTCCCTGTGCCAAGGAACAGCCATACCTGTCCAGGTAGGGCAACCCTTCTCTGTTGCCTCCTACCTTGGAGGCTGAAACCCCCATCCCTCAGGCTTATCCACCAAGAATGCCTAGGGCGACCGCGTGTCTGGTCTTCAGCCTCAGCCTGATTCTGGCACAGTTAGTGTTAAATAAATAAATGAATGAGACTGGAGGAGGCTTAAATGGGTAGAGGAAATTGGCAAGCTTGTGGCCAATGACCCCGATTTGGCCTGCAGACAGGTTTTGCCACCACCACTCTGCCCTCCCCTGCCCCCTGATGCTGATGCTCACATAGTGTTTCTTTTTAAAAAGCTCATGGTGTCACAATGTCATGTTTAGATCTACATTCCCAGTCCCTGTGGGCACCTGGCTTCCACTTCTGTCCCTGCCTAGCATCTAAACATAAGTTCAGCTTGTGTGGGACAGATACATTGTGAGAAAGTCCGGGCAGGTCTCCTTCCTTGGGCTACAGCATCCAAGGAAGCAAGGAAGCA